ACCTTTAGCCCCCCCCCCCCCCCCCCCCCCCCCCCCCCCCCCCCCCCTGCCTTATCGCGGAGGTTCCAACAACGCAAACAACGCCAACATCCTTTGCGCTAGAAACGCCTCCTGTACTATAACAGGAGGTTTCAACAACGAACCTACCAACGAAGATCCCGCCAGAAAACAAACGAAGCGAAGTTTTTCGTCAAACGTCAATGCCTCGTTATCTGTTTGAACCCAGCGTCACCAGGGGAAGAATCTCTATTGTGGTTTCTGTCATTACGTGTAGGAGAGCTCGTTGCAGCTGTAGCAAGTTGTGTAGGAGAACGAAAGCAAGCTACAGAGCACGGGAAGAGACGGAAGGACAGCAGTGGCCGCCCAACGAAGGTGACGGCAGACTAGCATTCCGTGGGCCGAGAAAGAAAGCAAACGCAGTCGCGAGGGAGGCGCTGGATCAGAGGCGAGCGCTCCAGGTCCACTCTCGACTCTACAAAGATGCATGTGTACCCACAGGCCGCGACAAGTGCGCTAGAAACCGCTTATGACAGGCTGCACCGGTCATGAGATGGACGCATCATAAGATGGCTGCATCATGAGATGGCTGCTTGACAGCACTTTCTCATGCCCCATACCCAAGAGTTTCATGGTGGGTACTAAAATCCATGAACGTGTCCATGTTGGTCATGCAATACGCAGGCGGCGAGACACAAAAAATTAAGCGTTTTCTAGACAGTATTTTTCGGGTCATGACCATCGCATATGCACATGCATACAAAAAAAGCGAGAAAAAATGCCCCCTGCACAACAAGGTTTCAACGACGACACCCCCGCCCCTAAAAAACGCGCAGAAAAAGCCTCCTGCGCGAGGTTTCAAAGGTGAACAAAAAGAACAATAAACACTCGAAACAGATCGTCCTGTATGACAAGGTTTCAACTATGGACGAAAACAGAACAAAACAAAAAAAAGACTCCCGCGCGAGGTTTCCACAACGAAAACCGCAGCAACAACCGCACGGCAAAACGTCTCCCGGTCTGTATGTTTCCAACACTTTCCCCACCTGCCAGGGGCACGAGATTGGACACCGAATCTGGCTTCAGTTGCACCTCGAGTACAGCCCAGGGATCCTTCACGAGCGCCATGAACGGGAGCCTCCTCGCGTAAACCTGGCCGGTCGTGGCGGACCGACCAGCCCAGCCCGACCACCAAGAACGAAACATCGGACCGAAAAAAAAGAAGGGAACCGTTACATGTCTTTCCAAAACCAGAACAAAATAATTAGTACAGCCAGCAGAGGGAGTTATGGAACGAACTCAACGGAGGCACGTTCCTTGTCGATTGGCCAAACCCCGACCACCAAGAACGAAAAATCGGATCGAACAAACAGAAGGAAATCGTTCCTTGTCTTTCCGAAACCAGAACAAAATAATTAGTACAGCCAGCAGGGGGAGTTATGGAACGAACTCAACGGAGGCACGTTCCTTGTCGATTGGCCAAACCCCGACCACCAAGAACGAAAAATCGGATCGAACAAACAGAAGGAAATCGTTCCTTGTCTTTCCGAAACCAGAACAAAATAATTAGTACAGCCAGCAGGGGGAGTTATGGAACGAACTCAACGGAGGCACGTTCCTAGTCGATTGGCCAAACCCCGACCACCAAGAACGAAAAATCGGATCGAAAAACAGAAGGAAATCGTTGCTTGTCTTTCCGACACCAGAACAAAATAATTAGTACAGCCAGCAGAGGGAGTTATGGAACGAACTCAACGGAGGCACGTTCCTTGTCGATTGGCCAAAGCCCGACTACCAAGAACGAAAAATCGGATCGAACAAACAGAAGGGAATCGTTGCTTGTCTTTCCGACACCAGAACAAAAAAATTAGTACAGCCAGCAGAGGGAGCTATGGAACGAACTCAACGGAGGCACGTTCATTGTCGATTGGTCAGAGCCCGACCACCAAGAACGAAACCAAAATAAAACGCACAGTAGTATCTCATCGAATAGTTATCTACCATGTCTTCCCCCAACCCAGAGCAAGCATTTTCAATAAAAGGGCGAAGCACTGCTTGTTGCGGTTTCTTCGACAGACTGATTGTCAATTCTGGCGGGTACACGCGCTCCACGCGCCTGGGCGTCGATCAGCGCGGCCCAATTGATATCGCTCTGACTGTTCCAACGTACAATGGCGTGGACAGTACTCATGGAGTACATATCAATCAACCAACAACAAGCACCAGTCAATCAACCAACAACCCACACGAGAGCCGTTCAGTTCGTTATGTTCAGAGGTCTGCTTGGGAACAAATGTGTCCAATCAGTTCAGGCAGCGTTCGTTGTACGGAAAGGGCAAGGGTGTAGGGGCGGGCATACGAATGGAAGGATTGACGGAAGGAACATAAGTTCCTTGGCCTGTCTGATGGAGAAATATACGTACAGGGCACCAACTAAACCCACAACAACGATGGAGGAACAGAGCACGGCACGCGTCCATCAGGGAAGCCTCCATGCTCTCTCATCGCAGCGACGTTGCAATTGTCTCCTCCTTTGGCCAGGGGTGGCCTAATGTTTCCAATATCGGGGCAGAACTAAACGCAAACGTCTAAACAAAAAACACACATCGGGCGGAAACTGCCCGTATGAAAGGAGCCAAAGTTCTCACACCTCGGTAGCAGCACTCCCCACANGGGGCCCCCCCCCCCCCCTAGCTCCGTGTTTTCGGGAGCAAAATCAGCGCCATAAAATGGCAAAGCCCTGTGACTCGCCTCGCTCGCGGGACTCCCGACGGTAGTTGGGGGCGCCGTGGATGATCGAACATCCACCTCTCCACGCCCCCCGCCCCTTGTCCCCGCCTCGCCTCCTTCAGCAATCGCCGCCACCGGCCGCCCTTCGCCATCGAGCGGCCAGGGGCTCGTGTAGTCCTTGAGGATGGCGAGAGCCTCGAGGCTGTTCTCCAGGCGCTTCACCTCTTCTTCAGAGTCTTCCTCCTCTTCCTGCGTTCAAACATCCGTGTTTAATTGTATTTCACGTTGTGAAGTACCGAACGGACCAGGCGAGTTTGGGCCGGGGTGAGCGCTTGTCACAGGCTATCTCGCTAGTGTGTTTTGTTTTGTCACTTTGTATCGAACACACGACTCGAGCACGGGGTGGGGGGGGTGGGAACTTGCCACATGCTGTCGCTGGGGTTGTTTCCCAATTCTCGTTGTACATACCGGAAGAGATTTTGCGTGTCCGTTGCTCGTTCATGGGTTCAACTTTCTGCTTTTTTTTTGTCCGAGTTAATCGAGAGGGGAGAGCAGCATGTACCCCGCCACAAGCAGGGTTAGTATATCTCACCCCCAACAACGGGGGCAGGCTTCGAAAGCTCACACTCCTACTGTACTTGGCCAGCACTCATCGATGAGGTACTGTAGGAAAACAAAACATCCCGAAAAATCAAAAACAAATCGCTACAAAATGTCTTCACGCCCTGTCTCCTAGATAAACATACGTGTATGACTACATGATTTGGTTTGTTGGTCAACAAGCATACGTGTGACTACTTGCTGTAATTTAATGGCACAGAAACGTGCTTGTTTTGCGCGCTTAATTGTATATCTTGACGGTATTGCTGTATCTTGTCCAACCATTGGTGTTTTGGGGACCACATACCAAGACAGGGGACGTCTGTGCGTGCACTTCCAAACACAACGATTCCAGATCAAAAATTCACCGATTAAATCCACACCTGGCACTTGTCTGACAGGAGAGTGCCGTACACGAAGGCGAGGCGCTCGTAGTCCCGGTCGCAGATCATCCCCGGGGTTTCCAGCATGTGCCTTAGCATCCTCGACAAGAACACACCGTGCACCGACGGCAGCACCTCCGTGATTCTCTCCTGCAAAGGGAAAAACCACAAACACAGCGATTGGCATGTTTTGCTTTCTACCAACTGAGACTGACGTATTTTCACACACAGTACGGTCGGGGCCCTGGCTTAGCGACTCCCTGTTTAGCGACCACAAAACCACGTCGCACCGGGAAGTATGTAACTGCTACATAATCGGTAGTTCGGTTTTGCGACCTGCCCTGAAAAGCGGCCACATTTCGTCGTGACACTAGTGGCCGCTAAACTTCCCCCCCCATTGTAGCATGTTCTGTTTTCAACCGAACTGAGAATGACGTCTTTTTACGACATACAGATGCACTGCCTGTTTTCAACCGAACTGAGAACGACGTCTTTTTACGACATACAGAAGCATTTTCTCTTTTCAACCGAACTGAGAACGACGTCTTTCGATCGGCCAGCAGAGTGAACAGTATGGTAGATGCAAAAAAAAAGAAGGGACATTCACGGGCCAACACAAATATCTTCAGAGGATGACAGACACTGTTCCTGTTGGTTTGGCTGCTTTCCATGCAGTGCTTCACTACAATCTCCATGCTTTAGTGTTTCAAGTGTTGTTGGCATCAGCACGCTTCAACCAAGTCAGGTATGCACAAGGGGATACGAAACACCGTGCGGGCTACAACGGTGAGACACAACGATAGCGCCAAACCGGCAAACGTACGCCCCGCCCCGCCCCCCCC